CAGGCTGCACTCACAGTGATGGTGAAAATACTGAGCTTCAAATGGTACTTTGGAAGGATCTCTGCGAAGTAAATAGAGGACAAAAAAATGAGCTGAAAATAGAAAAAAATATCTGTATGATAACATATAAGTAATATGGATAATAATATTTATTCGTGGCTAACCAAAAAAAGTTTTGAGATGGCTACTGGGAAATAATAAGGTGATGAGAAAGTTATGGTTGGAGGAAAAGAAGTGCTAATAAACTAAGATGCTAAAATCGCTGCAGAGAAAACCTATCAATGGATCTTAGATTCAAAGACCAAATGCCTTTCCTAGGGCCCAAGGCAAAGAGAGATGTATGATTAGGCACAACATTGATAGGATTCAGAAGACAGGAGGTAGTAGTTGCTCAGGAAAACATTATATTTTTTTGTCCTTGAATTGATACTCTGGAGGAATTTCTATTGTGTATCCTCTTAAAAGGGACCCCTGAGCAGAATCCTCACCAACTTTCTCATCACAGAGTGAGTCAAACATGAGCCTTTCTCATAAATGGAATATCTGCATACACTTCAACAAATCCTACATGAATGTCATTTTTATATCCATGTTGGTAGAAGGTATTGGGCAGCATAAAATATGAGAGATTTAAACTCTAACAAGAATCCAGAGGATAGGCAACCTGTGCTGCTGATTAAGGACAAATTCATAGACTTTGGCATTCAGTTGGGGAAATGTTGAAGTTGGTCTCCTTTTGGGGAAGTTGAAGAGTCCAAACAAGACCATGCCTAAATGGGTGTCTACCCCACTATCTATGGAGGTGCTTCAGTAGGAGCTGGAGGTAGGGCCAAGATTTTCCTTAGGAAATATTTGCATGTTTACTGTAATTTAGGTGATAGATGTCTCAAAGGTCTATGCTATAAAGTGTCACCATAATACCTTTCCTTTAGAGACTTGTCCTAAGCAGGGTTATTAAATACCATGATCATAGCCAATGCCAGTGTTAGTAAAGCATCCTTTCAGTGTCTACTTCAAAGCAAATCCACTTGCAAGTAATTCCTCCAACATAAATTTTTAGAAAAATTGTCTCACAGGTATTAATGATTTGATCTGCTTTATAAAATTGTCAGATTAATTCAAGTAATTGTTGAAAGACATTTGAAAAAAAGAAGGATTTTTGTTTTCAAATGATTGATGCTATGTCATTATTTTTAGTCATAACGATTTTTTAGCATGACCAACTGTGGTTCAGGAACTGCTGAAGGTTCTTGAATGTAGACCTGACATGAGGGCCATGAGTCTACCGCCACGATAAGGCCAGAGAGAAAGAAGAAAGGGGTTATGAGAGTTTCCATCTTCCCAGGGCTCTTCAGGATGGAAGGATTGAGGGGTAGGGATCACTAGGACATCACATAGGTTCAATCACCACTGAAAATGTTGCTTAGGAGTCATGTGCTGGCCCACCTGCAGCTGGGTTTGTTATTTTCCTCTTCCTTCCTCATCTTCCACCCACCACCATAGACAGACAAACACACACACACACACTGACCTATATTTTTCTCTTTTTCATTCTTTCTTTTTACCGTGGACATATTCTATTCTATCACCTGAAATTTTGCCATTGTTTTATAACTCTTTAGAGAAAAAATCTACTCTAAAATTATTCACGTATTCACAGCTTTTTTAAAAATTGAACTTTCCCTTTTGATTCTATTACCAAGAAGAGGTTATGAGGCAACATGTTTAAGTCCAGTATAAACATCTGAGTAATCATATTTACACAAAAAAACACCCTCCCAAACTGTCAAGGATAGCATGGACAAGAAGAGTCTTCACACAGATCAGATGTCATTTTGAGTGGGGAGCCGGGCATGGTCGCATGTGCCTGTAGTCTCACTTAGGGAGGCTCAGCTGGGAGGATTGCGTGAGCCCGGGAGTTGGAGGCTGCAGTGAGCTATGATGACGCCGCTGCACTCCAGCCTGGGTGACAGAGTGAGACCCTGTCTCTAAAAAAAAAATTAATTTGGGTGGGGGTTAAGCAGGAATGTCTCTGTAACGGTAAGTTGTCTCTTCGTACCATCACAGGGGTTTGGCTGTCACATTTCATAGCCTCCTTCCATCCT